TATATATATACAAAGATTACCAAATGCACAATATCACACTTTTGTTTAAAGAAAGAGAATGTTGTAAAATGTCTATCCGTGCATATTTTAAAAAACAACAACTAGCAAGTCATTTTCTCCGCATTACGTCGTGCGTCACAGCAGTTTCATTTTCCATGTAATTACCCATTAGTCGAAATTATCCCCCTTTTTTATCGCTGTTTTGAGAATAGTACAATATTTATTGTCACAAATGACACTGATGTCGAGAATGATGTTGTTCTGCTTCCATTGCGTCTTTCTTCCAACAGCATACAGGTTGTGAATCTTTAAAAAATCTGCATCTTCTGTGTTCTTCGCCTTTGGGGTATATCCTGTTTTGTCTCAAAGCCGTTCCAAATGTACGTTTATGTCTATGTGGACGAAGAAAAGGAAGAGGGTGCACTGATGCAATCTTCGCACTCCGACAACCGTGTGAGAGGGCTTTGGAATACGATCAAGATCTCTGTCTCGTATTTGTGGATCAAGAAAAAGCCTTTGATCGAGTAAAAATAGAAACAAGCTATGGAAGATCCTGGAGCAGCATGACATCAAGGGACAACTGCTAGACAACATCAGGGCTATCTATGCCAACAGCAGAATCGAAGTCCGCACTACCAGTGGAATATCGGAGTGGTTTCCAGTAACAAACGGAGTCAGACAGGGCTGTAATCTCTCCCCTCTACATAGACCAGATTACAAAGGAGGCCAATCCAGACCCTGAGGCACTCAACGAACTCATATTTGCAGACGACCTGGCTATGACAAACAACAAGACCCAGCTACAGGAGCATATGAACCAACTAAATGCGAGCTGCGAGAAATATGACATGAAGATCAGTATAAGCAAGACCGAAATCATGACAATTAGCAGAAGACCAGACAAAGTGGATATCAACATCAATGGATCCCAACTAAAACAAAGCAGCGAATTCAAATACTTGGGCAGCATTTTCACAGAAAATGGAAAAGTAGATCAGGAAACTGAGACTTGATGCCAGAAAGCCAAAGCAGTCAGCTAGCTATCAACTCGACCCTCTACTGAAACATCCCAATATCCCCATGAGCACCAAGGCTCATCAACACCATTTTCCTTCCAACACTCTCATATCCCTAACAAAAGCCCTAGAGAGGAAACTGGTCACATGCGAGATGAAATGCTTAAAAAGAGCGGTCAACAAAACAAGAAGAGACAAAATAAAAAATGAATTCAGAAGGGACACCGTAGGAGCAACACAATTCCTACCACACATTGAAAAGCAAAAGGTCAAGTGGTTCAGACACCTCACGCGGATGCCCTCAAACCATCCAGCTCTGGGAGCATACAACATTAAATATTCTGGATGGAGAGCCAGGAGAAGACCAAGGCGACGCTGGAGTGAATCTGTGGCAGACACCCTCAGAGCTCACGGGATGTCCCTCTTACAGGTCACTCGCCTTGCTGCAGACAGACGCCTGTGTCTCCTCGCGACACCCACCGGTACAAGCGGAAGAAAACAGTTTTAAAAATGAAGAAGGAAAGGGGTGTAGGTGACGCAGGATGTAGTGGTGTAGGGGAAATCAAATTTGTTGTTGTGGTTGTTGTTGTGGTTGTTGTTTCTGTTGTTCGTATGCTCTAGCCGGGGGGAGGGGGGGGCGGGGAGGGGAAATCAAATCGGTTGTTATGATTGCTCTTGCTGTTGTGGGTGTTGTAACTGTTGTTGTTGTGATTGAGGTTGTGTTTGTTGTTGTGGTTATTGTTATGGCTTTTGTTGTGATTGTTGTTGCTGTTGTTCGTAGGCGCTAGGCGGGAGGCAGGGTGTGGGGGATATCAGATTTATTTCCACTGTTTTCCTTTCGTCGTTGGCGCTTCTCAGCCTGGTTGTTTCTAGCTCTCAAGTATTATAGTTCTTTCCTTTATCCTTTTCCTCCATGTTTTCCTGTCCTCAGCTATTTATTCCCAGATGCTAACATCTACTCTAGGCTTAGATAAGCTGTGTTTTGTAGGTGTCTTTGTACCTCAATTTTGGTCTTCCTCTTGGTCTCTTTCCCTGGGCAAGTTCTCCATAGAGAAGTTGCTTCGGAATCCGGTTGTCGTCCATTCTCTTGACATGGCCCTGCCATCTCAATCTTTTTAAACACAGGATAGTTGTCATGCTCTGGAGGTTTGCCCGAGCCAACACTTTAACATTTGTAACCTTGTCACGCCACGAAATGCCTAAGATCTTGCGCCAGCATCTGAGATGGAAAATGTCGAGGCGCTTTTCTTGCCTGCTGTACGAGGTCCATGTTTCAGATCCATAAAGGAGTGTGCTGAGGACACATGCCTCGTAAATATCAATCTATAATACAGGCACTTTTTCAAAACATGGAAACTTTCCTAACTTCGCTCAGGTGTGAATGGGTACCCAGCTATTAACAGCGAAAGATCTTGTCAATTTGTTGATATATTAGCGCCTGTCAAATGGCAGCTTGCAGTATATGCTTCCCAGTAAATAGAAATTATTTCTGAATACTGCTTGGTCCACTGGGGCAGTATTGTTAAGCTCAGTTTGCTGTAAAGCGGGAATTTGCGTTATTATCATTTTGATATTATTACTATTATCATTATTGTTGTTATTACTATTTTTTATTATTATCATTTTTGCTACTATTATTATTATTAATAATAATATTATTATTATTATTATTATTATTATTATTATTATTATTATTATTATTATTATTATTATTATTATTTTCATCATTGTTGTTGTTGTTAACATCATTATCATCATCATCATCACCACATGTGTGAAACTATTTGGTGTGAGTATGCATGTATGTGTGTGAGTATAGGTGTCTGTTTGTGTCAGTATGAGTGTATATTATATTATACTTCATAAAAGGTGTATAAGTGTATGAGTGGGAGTGTGTTTGAGTGTGTTTGTGGGCGTATGTATGTATGTGTGTGTTTATGTGTGTATGTGTGTGTATGTGTGAGTGTGTGAATATTTGTACGTGTGTATAAGTGTATGTGGGTGTATGTTTGCCTATGTGTGTATGCAAATGTGTCTAAGTGTGGCTGGGGCGTGTCGTAGCGACTTATAAAGAGCTGAACACGTTTGACAATAAGCAGAATATATGTTTTCCATGTGTTTCCCAATATGTAGTGTTAACCCTATGGATCCTAAAACGAGAAACATATCTTTGACCACCGTCTTTCTGTTTTGAACAATAAAAGAATTCAAATAAGGGGTCTTTGTTATTGCTTTCAGATCGGTGCTATCGGAGACGGACGTTAGATTCGCCTTTTAAATATCCTAATAGTGCTCACAAGGGCGTTGAACCCATGCAAATTGTTGTTGTTGTTGTTGTTGCTGCTGTTGGTATTGTTGTTGTTGTTGTTGTTGTTGTTGTGTGTGTGTGTGTGGTAGCCTATCCGTTCGAAATGTTCGGAGCCCCGAAGAGTGTGCTCTTCGCCAGGGCCACCGCCTCCCTTGGGTAGCGGGTGAGGCAGTCCAACCTCCCTGAATCCTCCCCGAAGAGATGCCACCACCGGGCCTCCGTGGCGGGGCATCTCTGCAGCCAGTGCTCCAAATCTTGGGGCTCCTCGCTGCACAATGGACATATTGGGTCCGATGTTGTTGTTGTTGTTGTTGTCGCTGTTGTTGTTGTCGTTGTTGTTGCTGTTTTTATT